ATACCTAAACTGTATGTAAGTTTAAGTTAAGCAGACTTAAAAGTTTTCCCGATAACTGAATAAAGTCTCAGGCTTTATATTTAAATTAAGTAAAATTAAACACAAATAGATAATTCATAAACTTAATTCCTCAGTCTTATTAGTCACATGTCAAGTGTTCAATAGCTCACGTGGCTAATAGCTACTGTTGGAGCGTTCCAGCTAATATATCAAGCAAAAATAAAATTAGATATACCGATTTTGTAACCTCCAATGAAATAATAGATCCAGGCAATAATAGGTCTATAACATCATAGAAAGCAAAAAAGGTGACAGAATTACATACCATACACCATCTATGACTTATTCTCACAAGTACACATACAAAAGACTAATCAAGCCTCTAGATCTTATATACCAATCAACATGAAATACGGGGAAACATGGGAATATAATCAGCAAAATCCAAACTGTGGGAGACTCCACTGGAAAAACCACCTAGTTTATTCAACATGAAAAAGGGGAAAAAGGGGGAATTACAGGTTTTTTAAAGAGGCTTAAAATCCGTATCAACCAACTGCAATGTATGGCTCTTAGTTGGACTCACATTCAAACTGTGTAAAACAAAAGAGAGAATGGGAAAAATTTGATGACAGTGATAAATCACTGTTAATTTTTTAGATGTGATAATTAGTTCCATTAGGAAAAAAAGAATCGTTTTTTACAGATATATACTGAAACACATACAAATAACATATGCTATCTGGGATTTGCTTCTTAAAACATAAGGTAACGAGAGTTGGTGAATATAAGTAAGATTGGCCATGAGGTGACAGCACTTGAAGCTGGATATGGGGTGCATTATATCCTTCTCTCTCCTGTTGTGTATGTTTGAAACAGTTCATAATTAAAATTCAAAGTCCTGTAAAATAAGCGTCAACCTTTCAAACTGGAAATATCAATCCCATTTTTTCATTCTTATAACACAATGTATCAATTGGCAGTGTAGGTGATGGACCCCATTGTTTTTTTTTATGTTTTTTTTTATTTTTTTTTTTTTAAATTTTTTTTTCAACGTTTATTTATTTTGGGGACAGAGAGAGACAGAGCATGAACGGGGGAGGGGCAGAGAGAGAGGGAGACACAGAATCGGAAGCAGGCTCCAGGCTCTGAGCCATCAGCCCAGAGCCTGACGCGGGGCTCGAACTCACGGACCGCAAGATCGTGACCTGGCTGAAGTCGGAGGCTTAACCGACTGCGCCACCCAGGCGCCCCTGGACCCCATTGTTTTATTCTTTATTGGTTGTCATGAATGAAGTGGCTTGAAATGGAGAAAAGTGCTTGTAAACACTGAAATGCTATTCAAATAAAAAATATGTTTGGGTTTAAAAAAAATCAGAGTAACTGAACAATTTTAAAAGATATTCTTGATATTTCATATTGTGTTTCTTCCTCCAAATCTGGTCATTGTCACCTGGGAATACATTCAATGATGTTTGACAAGTCAATGATGAACCTAAACTCAACATACTGCTTGCTTTAGGCACTTGAGGGGATATAAAAAGAAATTAAGGGATCCAGCCTTTGCCAACAATGTTTTTCAAGTCAAGATTTACTACCAAGAAACGACGAGACATATAATTAATAGAACTAATATAAAAGGAAATGTCATATTGAATATTACTATCCAAACACAAGGTATGACGACAAAGTGCTATGGTGGGTGAAAATCAACATCAATTTAAACCTGAATGAAATTAACATTTCACACCCATTATAATAGCTAAAATAAAAATGACTGATAGGACTAAAAGTTAGCTAGGGTACAGAACAGCTGGACTGCTTATTCACTGCAACTGGGAATGTAAAATGGTACAACCCCTTGGAAAACTGGCAGCTTCTTTTAAACTTGCATACATTTACTACATGATCCCAGTAATTTTGTTGCTAGATTTATAACCAAAGGAAATGAAAACATAGGTCTACAAAAAGACTTGTATAACAATGTTCATGGAAGCCTTATTTATAATAGCCAGAAATTGAAACAATCCAAAAGTCCATCAACAGGAGAATGGATAAACAAACTGATATAGTCATTCAATTAAATATTACACAGTAATAAGAAGGAACTACACAGATATAACAGACACAATGCTAAGTGAAAGAAGCCAGACACAAAATTATATATTCTTTAACTCCCTCTATATGAAATTCTAAAACAAGCAAAACTAATGTATGGAAATTTCATAGGGAAGGGGTGAAAATGTTCTAGATCTTGTTACATGGATGTATAACTGTTGTTAAAAACTCGTTCAACTGAACCCTTAAGAACTCTGTTGGTTTCAAGTTAAAAATACAAATGTGTTTAAAAAAACAAACCAACCATGAATGAGAAAACTGGGGCTTAGATAGTAAAGAAGACACTAATGCAGAATCTAGGGTTAGGGAGTACTATAATGAGAAAGAACTATAAAGAAAACCTGTACACTATGATTTTTTTTGTACGCCATGTCATGGCTTAGACTCTAAACTTTAGAGGGGGTATGTGGTAGGAAAATCTGGTTAGAAGTATTACAGAGAAATAAAGACATAAATTAATGAGACCTCAGACCAGGATAAGGATAATGGGAATGGAAAGAAAATCAGGCAAAAAAGAGGTTATCAAAGGAAACATTTGGTTCTATAAGCAAACAATGATTCTAAAGAATTACATTCCAGATACCTGCTAGATTGATGGGATTGATACATGAGATGAGTACTGGGAAGATGACCTAAAGCAGAAAATGATGTATTTAATTTTAGAAAGACAGAGACGAGGCATCAAGACAAGATTTAAATCAGGAGGCATTCACTGTAAAGGACTGCAAAAAGAGATATGGAAAAAGTCAGCTACGGGGAGAAGACAGTTGACTTCGCAAAGGAACCCTGCTAAATAAAACCTACCATTTGTATACTAAGAGCTAATTGCTTTTGTATATACTTAATATATTAAAAAATGCAGCTAACAAAAAAGAAAGAGAAAGATGAAAGGCATAGGAACCTGTTAGTGGAGGCACAAAGAAAAGCATTTCAGGAAAGGAGACTAACAATGTTAGAGAAACACTAAACAAAAATGGATTCAAAGAGAAAATCTAGAACCCTGCTACTCCGGGTAGTCCCTGACAAGCAGCATCAGCATCACCCGGGAGTATGCTGGAAATACAGAATCTCAGGTCTCATCCCAGACCCACTGAATTAGAATCCGCATAACAAGACCCCCAGGTGATTCTCATGCACTTTTAAATTGAGAAGCCCAACCAGAACACAGTATTTTCTTAAACTGCAGGTCTCAACCCATTGGTGGGTTACGAAATCAACACAGAACAAAACTGGAAATATCAAAGCATATCACACATGGTAAGTTTTTTGTGTTTGTAAGGCACGTGAGGTAAACATTTTTAGAGTAGGTTGAGATTTTTTAAGAAGTTTACAAAACATTGTACAAAGTAACCTCTTCTTTGACTAAGAGGATGTGAGAATTCGTATCCAAAAAGCATTTTAGTGTGTCTCAGACTTTGACAGTGACTCACAATAATACATATGTACTAGTAATACATACATGTGTTTAACATACATATAAAACGAAAACCAAAATTCGTGAAATACTCTTATCCAGCAGTATACCCTGATATTTCTATGTTAACGTTGTTTGCGACCCATTAAATGGATTTTATAGTTAGTGACTCTTGTAGCCACTACTAAAGGTTTGAAAAACAAAGATTTTCAACAAGCTGGCCTCAATCCTCAGCCAAGAAGTGGTTTGGAAAGAATGAAGAGGTTAACAATGGCTGGTAAACACGGTAAATTCACTAAAAAGCTGATGAAAGAACAGACTTACTCAGCAGGAAAAGGCCAAACTAACGTTGCACTGCGTCAGTTTTTAGTTTCTGTCTCTCTGTCTGAAGGTACGAAAGAAGCAATAGCAGATAGGACTAATGAGTGTTGGCAATTGGTATAAAAACCACGGGAGAGACAGGGATGAAGGAAAACACCACCAGTACCAAGAACTAGGGCAATGATAACTAACCTGCCTCAGTCACAGAAGTGAGGCTGGTCCAGGAGGCCCGGCTCAGAAAGGCAGGTGCTGACTGAACACACTCCCAGCTTTGGTTCCTGAAGGCCGGCTGTCACACTGGCGACAACCAGCAAAGGCTTACAGTCTAGCTCCTAGGAGGCCCTCGGTTCCCCAAGCTAACGTTTTTGTACTGTGCTTGGAGAAGCAGGTAAGCTGGGCAGTGCAAAATGGAGATCACAGCTTATTCCAAGAATCCGAGAAGGGGAGCCAAGCTGCTGCTAGGCCTTCTCTATGACCGCGGGGGTTCGCATACAGCGATACCCCGGACAAAGGCGGCTTCCTTCTGAGTCACGGCACAGTCCTGGCCGAGAAACCAAGACAAGCAGAGACCCTGGGGTGATCTGGCGGGGCCAGTCCCCAGCTCTCAAACCCTTCTTGGGGCCCCCCACTTCCCATCACCCCTCGCGCGGAGCCCTGAGGCTGTCAGCACCCTCCAGGCTAGGGAAAGGCGTGGTTTTCCTTCCCCGCTTCTCCCGTAAGGCACAACCGCCAGCGCAGTACCACAGCGTCTTGGCAAGGCCGAAGGTGCTCCCACCTTCACTTTAATTAGCATCTTCTTCCCAGTTTGGAGCTGCACACAGATAACTTGATGCTTCTACCGCTGCGGTCGCCGCTGCCGCTCCCCAGCAATCGCCTCTGGGAGTCACTTCTGCTTCCGGGTCACTGCCTGGCTCCACCCCTCTCACCCCGCCTCCTTCCTTTCATCGGGTTGCCGAAAGGCTCAAGAATGCTCCTGCGTTTCGTTTTGGTGGTGTCGTAAATAAAAAGAAGGCGGTGGTTTCGTTACGGCAGAGATGATATCTCCGCGATACTTAGAGTCCCTAGCGAGCCAGGGCTTGGAAAGCCGTGGGCGTAACGAACTACTCCCATCATGCCGGGGGACAGCTCCGTGCGTCCCATCCTGCGAATCGTAGTCTCCCGCCCCTAGGGTCCAACGGCAACCTCGGTGTGTGAACTCTGTTACCCAGAAGGCCTCGCACGGCCACCGCCGAAAATAGAATGCCTCAGTTAATCCTTTTCGCCGGCAATTAGCGGAACCTGTTGGCGTGGCCCACAAGGCTCAGCGGGGCTTCACGAGCCTAGTTGCTAAGCAAGGGCGACTTTGGTCAACTGCCACCTGTGCCACGGCGACAGGAAGTGAGTACCCCTATTCCGGAAACTAGTTGTGGGAACCCCCTATTTCTTCTCACCCCCAAATCAGCCTCTTACCCCAAATTGCTCTTTGCAAGGGTGGGAGAAGGAAGAGTAGTGGGGGGAAGGAATACACATTTTTAGGGTCTCTCAAGACTCCATCCCAATTCTTCTCCCCAACAACTGGTACCTGGGATGGAGATACCGGGTAATTGTAACCATGAGACAGATGAGATGACAGTCAATGAGCTTCAGCCAGTGCCCTGACCTTCCACAATTTAAGCAAGGAGAGAGATGAGTTATGCAGTTAGCTCTAAGAGGGCATTAAGGCCTATGGGGAAATTGGTTCAGCTCCCCTCTCCTGACTTTCCCTACCTTCCAGCTCTCAGATTGGTCGCTATCCCGAGGTCCCTGCCATGCCTCACATCGATAACGACGTCAAACTGGACTTCAAGGATGTCTTGTTGAGGCCCAAACGCAGTACCCTTAAGTCTCGAAGTGAGGTGAGACTGCTTTCCTAGTTGCACTTGACCCCAAGCTCCTGATGGGCCAGTACTGAGAAAGAGTCCTACTTCTTGTCCTCCTGCAGTACTCATTTACCTGATGAATAAAATGCTCGGTTTCCTGCTCATATCTGCAGGTGGATCTCACAAGATCCTTTTCATTTCGGAACTCTAAGCAGATGTATACTGGGATCCCCATCATTGCTGCTAATATGGATACTGTGGGCACCTTTGAGATGGCCAAGGTTCTCTGTAAGGTAGGACTTCCCTCATGCAGATTCCTCACTGGTGTCCAGTTATATGGGCTGACTGCAGAGGTACCTGCATCCCCACCCCCACCCCAAGTCATTCAAAATTCCTAGCTAGTGTGAGCATTCAAAAATTCCTAGCTAGAAGATCCTAGAGAAGCAGCTTACTAATTTTCTTTCTTTTATATATGCTATCCTTTTTTAATTTTTATTTTTTAATCTTCCTCTTCTTTGAATCCTAGGTTCCTGGGAATTCCTGTGCTCAAAATGGAATGTGTTTTTTTTTTTTTTTTAATGTGTTTTTCTTACACACAGGTTATTGTTCACTTTGAAAATAGAAGATGCTGCTCCCATCAGTAATATTACCTGCCTCTATACTTGTAGCTGAAAAGGTAGATAGTTATTCTGGGCACTCAAGGAACATATGCATTCTTCTGGTTAATCTATGTAGCCCTGATTGATGGATTCTGCTGCTGCTTGTGGCTCTGTTAGCCTTAAGGACTTCATCTCCCTTTCTCTATTTTTGATTGCTGTAAGTCTTTGTGGAATGTGTTGTCACTTCTCTGAAGTTGATAGTTATACAGTTTTAGTACTTTTTTGCTGTTGTCATTCACTAACTGCTTAGGAATCTTCTTGTCCATTGTCCGCCTGCTCTGCCCAGTAGAGTTGAGGAATAGTGACTCTGACTTCAGCATTAACAGACATGCTATAATACATGGACTTTGTGGGGACTGTTTTAATGCTTTATGTTGAGACTGGCTTTTCAGTACTGCTGATGAGTGCTAAAGAAATCAGGTTTTAGCGACAGAGCCAAGTTTCACAGTAATCATAAAGCTGGATATAAGCGTCTTTCTTCTAGATCTCTAGCTCGGTACATAATTGGATGTGCTCATCATGTCACACTATATCAGTATATCTCCAAGGTCTACTGACCTTCTAGGGTGATTTTTCTTTATGTATCAGCATGTGGATAGCAGAGTGTTGCTGAGAAAGCAGAATTCAATACCAGCTTTAGCGAGGTAGTGTTGATGAGTTAAGTATAGCAATAAGATGTCCTTACTGTTGGCTGATACATGACTTCCTTGGATTTCTTATCAGTTGCAAGATTTGGGTTGTCTCTGTCAGCTGCTCTCTTGTCTATTTGCATGTCTGGACTTTTAAAGCACAAGTACCAGTATTCACAGCTGTCTTTGAATGCCTTTCTCAAAGCATTGGGATATTGTTTGCAATTTGATGACCTAGGGAATACAAGTCTGAGGAGTTAATTGTATCCTGAAACTTGGTTGACCGAAATAGATGGAATGAAATAGACTTTTTAGGTTGGTCCATGTCTCCAGAAAATTTGTCCTTTACTCCAGTGGAGATGGAGAAAGAATGGGGTAGCACTTTACTGGCTCTATTAAGGTCTGACCTCTTGTGAACATTTAGACTCACTGAATTATTGGACCAGAAGATACCAAAAACTAGGTTAATTCAGTACTGGGTTACCATAGGAGGAGGGGCTGAGTCTGTGCAGGCAGACACTGGCTCCGTCCACCCTCTTCATGGTTATGTTCTTGTCTGCTGCTTGTTCCACTGCAGCAACAGCTCGTCTCTGTCACCTTTTAAGTCAGAAGCCCCTGTATCTTCTGACAGGTGAAATCCAGTCCAGATGACTTAGTACTTGGGTCAGGGTGTCAGACAAGCACTAGCTTATGACAAAATGCCCTACTGGTTATTTATAGGGAGAATAAGGGCTGAACTAAACCCAGCTCAACCAGTGGCTTCTTCAAGTTGCTTTCCAAAGTTCATTTTCTTCCTCAGAAAGAATACTTACTATAAAGGTCTATGTCTAGAAAAAGAGTTGCTAGTTCTCTCCTTTTTGATGACTCTTTCTTTTCCCCAGTTCTCCCTCTTCACAGCTGTCCATAAACACTACAGCCTCGAGCAGTGGAAAGACTTTGCTAGCCAGAATCCTGACTGTCTTCAGGTAATCTTAGTCTTTTCCTGGTCCCTTCTTCATCCCAGTTTTGCAGGAATCTTTGTTTGTTTGTTTGAGAGAGCACGTGGGTGTGCATGAGTCGGGGAGGGGCAGAGAGAGAGAGAGAATCCCAAGCAGGCTCCACGCTGTCAATGCAGGGCCCAACGTGGGGCTTGATCTCACAAACCGTGAGATCATGACCCGAGCCAAAATCAAGAGTTGGACATTTAACCGACTGAGCCACCCAGGAGCCCTTCTAGGAATCTCTGTTTGGCTTTCTGAGGACTAACCCTCACCTTCCCAGCCTGCCGGCTCCTCACTGGGTCTTTTGTGACATGCCACAGACTGTCTCATGCCTCCCATGCCAATGGCTCTGTTTCTCTCACAGCATTTGGCTGCCAGCTCAGGCATGGGCTCTTCTGACTTTGAGCAACTGGAACAGATCCTGGAAGCTGTTCCCCAAGTGAAATATATATGCCTGGACGTGGCAAATGGCTACTCTGAGCACTTTGTGGAGTTTGTAAAGGATGTACGGAAGCGCTTCCCCAAACACACTATTATGGTATGTTTCTATTACTCTGTAGTTGGTATGTTCCTCTTCCTCCCACTCTTTCCTGACACTCCCATTTTGTTGCATCATTTCTCCTCCGTTGCATTTTGATTTTCCTAGACCGCTTAATCATGGCTCTGGGTGATCATCCATGGTCCCACACTTAAAATGTATAGATTGGTTAGTGCAGTTATCTCTGTCCCTTTTCACATGCCTTGTGCCCACCTATGGTGTCCACTGAAGTGGACACGTAGTAGAATCGTATTAAAGGAGTCGCATGAAAATAAGTTTTATTTATTTTTTTTTTACAAGCTTTGGGGAGTGATAAGGCCTTATTTTCTCCACAGCATCAAGGGGTCTCTCTGTACCGTCCACCAAAAATAAATAGAGCTGTGCAAATGGGTATTTAGCTTATATTACCACGTTTTCCCCTTTGCCTGAAGCCAGAGATTTTATGATGTAACAGATGAAGGACAGGATATGTTTGGGTCTCTTGGCAGGGACGGGGAGATAAATCTACTGTAAATCAGCTTTGGCCTTGGTCCAGTTGTACCCCAACTTCACCCTAGTGCAACAGCGCCACTGGCCACTCACCTCCTTACCTCAGCTTGGGAAGCAGAGTTCGTTCCCAGTAGAGGGACCCTAGGTACCCTCTTTGTAATACTGTTGGAAGGTCATGGTCCAGGCATACCGTATATGAAAGCGCGCAGCCTCCTCTCGTTTCCAACCCCAAGAGTGCTCTGTCTTGATTGCTCCGTCTCAGGCAGGGAATGTGGTAACAGGAGAGATGGTGGAAGAGCTGATCCTCTCTGGGGCTGACATCATCAAAGTAGGAATAGGACCAGGTAAGTTGGTTTACGGGGGGCCACTGGCTACCTCTCCAGTGGCGAACGCCTGTGGAGCACGCTACTCTTTCATTATGTTCTTCTCAGGTTCCGTGTGCACCACTCGGAAGAAAACTGGAGTGGGGTATCCACAGCTCAGTGCAGTGATGGAGTGTGCAGATGCTGCTCATGGCCTCAAAGGCCACATCATTTCAGTAAGGCCAAGGGCAGGGGAGGGAATGAGGCTGCCAGACAGCTGAGTGTTCTGGGTGTGGAGGCTGTGGTAGCGGTGGATCAGAACTCCCGGGTTCCCATCAGCTTTGAGGTGGGCCATGGGGACACCGCTCCTAGTACTTGGGAAATCCACGTTATCTCTTCACAGTGCTCTTCACTTTGCAGGATGGAGGCTGCAGCTGTCCAGGGGATGTGGCCAAGGCTTTCGGTAAGGGTGCTGGGAGAGTGTGGACGGAGGGTCCTGTAGAAGAGGATAAGTCACCTCTGAGGGCCAAGGATCAGGCTTGGAAAGGCTGAGAAAGCCGTTCAGATTTTTTGACAATATGAACTAATGACCCTGAAGCCCGTGGTGTCACCTGGGGCAAGCCAGCAGGGGAAACCCTGAGACTGATACAGACTGTACAGAATGCCAGCTCCATCTGTAGCATCCCTCAGACTGTTGGACTAAAGTTAGAGACCTTTGCCCCTAGGACACTTGGAGTCTCTTGTTTAGCTGCACATAGTACAAAGAAATGACCAGATGGTAAAAGCAGAAAAAAAAAAAAAAAAAGCAAAACCCAGGCAAGGAATCTCCAGAGGCTTTAAATTCTTGGGGAAATCAGGCTCACTGAGGAGTAGAGGCCAGAGCAGAGCAGGCCTGTGTGGGTTGCGGGTCAGCTAGGGAAACAAAACCAGGAAGATGTTAGAATCATTGTCAGGACTGAGAATTTGGCATGAGTTGCTTCCAGGGGTGGGCATATGGGCGCGTGGGCCAGATTCAATTCTCTTTTTCCCTTGTTGATGCTGGCAGGGGCAGGAGCTGACTTTGTGATGCTGGGTGGCATGCTGGCTGGGCACAATGAGTCAGGTGGTGAGCTCATCGAGAGGGATGGCAAGAAGTACAAGCTCTTCTATGGGATGAGTTCTGAAATGGCCATGAAGAAGTATGCTGGGGGCGTGGCTGAATACAGGTATGTGCAGAGGTCCAGGAGCTGAGGGTTCCTGGAAATTGTGACTAAGCAGGGTGGTGGCAGAACTCTGGCTGCTGGGAAATGCTTGGTACATTCTTGGAGGAAAAGTGGTGAACTGGGGCTCAATGCTAGAGACTGGGGAGGTGCTGTCGGGCTTAAGAAATCCAAAAAGAGGGGCGCCTGGGTGGCGCAGTCGGTTGGGCGTCCGACTTCAGCCAGGTCACGATCTCGCGGTCCGTGAGTTCGAGCCCCGCGTCGGGCTCTGGGCTGATGGCTCAGAGCCTGGAGCCTGTTTCTGATTCTGTGTCTCCCTCTCTCTCTGCCCCTCCCCCGTTCATGCTCTGTCTCTCTCTGTCCCAAAAAAATAAACGTTAAAAAAAAAAAAATTTTTTTTAAAGAAATCCAAAAAGAAAAGGTTAGAAAGTTTTTCCTCCTCTCAGGGCCTCAGAGGGAAAGACAGTGGAGGTGCCCTTTAAAGGGGATGTGGACCATACCATCCGAGACATCCTTGGAGGCATCCGTTCTACATGTACCTACGTGGGAGCAGCTAAACTGAAGGAGTTGAGCCGGAGAACCACCTTTATCCGAGTCACCCAGCAGGTGAATCCAATCTTCAGTGATGACAGCTAGACCTGAGCAGCTGTGCCCTCTCAAAGCACTAGCAGTCTAGCACAGGGCCTCCCCATGGGCTCCTCACACACGCCAGCTACTATGGCTATTTATCACTCGGTTATTTCCTGTTGCCTTACTCCTGAGGGCTTCTGCAATAAATCTGTACTCTGTACGCACAAAATGCCCAGGGTACTCACTGGGGAGGAAGCAAGGAAAGCAGGCTGAGAAAATGAAGTAAGGTAATCAAATGCAAATCTGGGGACGCAGCATCTGGAAGATTATGGAAAGGAAAAGATAATGACTCCTGCCTAAGTGTTTAATATGGCCTTGGTCTGGACGAGTTACTCTCCTGATATCATGTTTTGTTAATGAACTTCATTAAATAGTATCTTTGAACACCTAAAAAGCTCAGAAATGTTGATGTATTTTAAGTATCTCAATAAAGAGATCCCAATGACTATAAGAGATTCTGTATCTTTCTACACAAGGCTGGCATCTGGGTGCTGCTCCGGGACAAGTGGAAGTGGAGTTGGCACTGACCCAGGAGAGTCAAAGACAGTATTTTTCCATGAAGTATCTCCATTTCAGTGCCACCACCCCCAGGTAACCTGGCAGCATGAGAATTTACAAAGTACATTCTGGTATCAGGGCACATAGATATTTTTAGAATAGCAAAGGGAAATTTCTCTTCCAGGCTATCAACCCTTCTTGGCACATCTGAACAACATTTTCCATCGGAAATAAAAAGGCAAAGGAATTCCTCCAGCCCTGGAGAAGCCAGTTCTAAGGAATGACCTACACTGACTTTATAGAAGCCTTAATTCCCCTTTCTCACACCAAGACAGTATTTTAATAAATCCAAATCTTAATTAACAAGTATTACAAAGTAATTTTAGCAAGGCAGTCAGGGAACCCAAACCTGGGCTTCCACTTTATTTCCACTAAACTGTGTAGAGCTCAGGGAGACAGGTGGAGTGCAGAGAGAATTCCAGTCCTATCATAAGTGTCTAGACCTGTCTGCATGGTCATGGAAGGGACAGACACAGCACTGGGGCCAGAAGTAGGGAGGTATTCATAGAAGGTGGGGATCAAGGTGTCAAACTTTGTCTTCTGATAGTTTTCCAGAGACTCCTGCAGAGAAGGGAGCAGGGAGATCCTATCATCGTCTTATTCCCTGAGCCCTCCATATTCTGGAGCATGTGGGGTTTCTGTCTTGTTCTGCTCATCCTCTTCCCCAGCTTTCTGTTCCTTCCTACTCACCCTTCCTTCCCTCTGGTCATTTTCTTCTTCATCAGAGTCCAAAACCAAGTCCCCTATGGTAATGACAGAGCTGCACAGAGATGGGGGACACACTGCAAGAAGGAAACCAGAGTCAAAGTACCCTTCTAGGTGAACAGGCCCTGAAGAATCCCCAGGAGAGGAGGCTGGCTCCTGACCCAAGACACTTACCTGGCTTCCTAGCCTTAGGAGGTGATAATGACAGTCTCAGGGGGTCCATGGGGCAAACCAAGCAATTCCTGAAGTGGGAGCAAGCAAAGAAGATAAGGTAACGGGAAAACAGGCAAAGAATGGGCTGTTTGCAGGGAGAAGCAACTGTTCCACTCACTCTTCTTTCTCTGAAGCAAACAAGTCAACTGGGTTCTCCTTCAGAGCTCTTCCCCCAAGGGTCTGGGATGGACTCTTAGACTTTCCAGTGGAAACTGCTCTCATGCCCGCAGCACCTGCCAGATCTGCCGTGTGTGTTTCACGTTCTTCCCTGCTCTCAGGCTCAGATATGATCTGGCTTGGTGAACCCAGATTCCTAAAGGGGAACAGCATGACTGTAGGGCGCTCCTTATGGTCTCCCTTAGTGGATGCCCATCGGGACTGGATTCTTCGCCGGCCTAGAGGGGCCAGATTGAAGTGGTGGCCAGCCAAAGGTTCTGGGTTCTTCCTTGAGGCTAGTCCCCGAGAAAGGTATGAGCTAGGCCTGGCTTTTGGCGATGGATCATGAAGTACTAGCTTTGGTTGCTGAGGAGGACTCTGCTCCATGGGCTTTGTCACGCTCACTGAATCAGTAACCAAGCGCTCTGAAAAAGAAAATGAAGCTCCTTATAAATAAGAGATACTAACACAGCTCCATCTGGTTTCTTATGCCTCAGGCCCATGTAACCCTTCAAATAGCCCATCTCAAAAGGTCTCCGGCCAAACAGTCTACCCCTAAGTTCCTAGTTCTCCCAGATGGTCCTAGTACCTGGAAGTGGCCACCCCATGTCCACACCATATTGGCTCAAGGCAAAAGAAGAAGTGATAGAAACTCCAGGCTGCATCCAGCTCAGCACATCTTGAAGCTGTGGGCAGAGGGTGAGAGGCATGAAGACCACAGTCCTTGATACAACCATCCCACACTCTGCCCTTATTTGGCCCCAACAAAACCTGCTGTGCCTGCAATGCAGGCAGTGCTTTTTCCAGCTGACACAGGTATTCAAAAAACAGCTTTTCCATGGCAGCCAAAAAGGGTTCCCCATACTCTTGTTCAAGTTCCTGCAGTGAGGAGAGAAGCAAGTCAGAAGAGGGCTAGGGAAATTAGCCACATAACAGCTTCCAAACCAGCCAGTCTCACCTGCAGCTTGGAAGCCAAGTCCACTGGGGTCTCTGCTAGTTGCTTCACCTGTTGGCAAAAGGTTTTCTGTGCCTCTGAGATCTTCCTCAGATCCTGCTTTGTCTGTTGAGGATAAGGAAAAGCAGAAAACTTAGGGTCACCAGGATCCAGTGGCCGGGAGAAGCCACTTTGTGGCACCGTGTTAACGGGAAAGGGCTCGTACCAGGGATTACTCACAGCTTTCGGGTCCCGCACTACAGGTCCAGACTCTGGGAAGTGGTGATGTAGGGCATTCAGAACTTGGGCCCACGGCCGGCCCTGCAAGATCAGCTCCACTACTACCTGTGAAGGGTACTAAACTCAGAATCTCAGGGCAAGCTGCCCTTTTCCAACCAGTCCCAACGCCAAGCAGTCGGCCCTGTCTGGTCCCCTCGCATCCCGCCCCTTTCCCGTCTTCCAGTTCCTAATGGCTCCAATACCTTGGCCTTTAGGCCCATACACAGGCGTTCATGGTGGCGGTAGCGAACCAAGCCAGGGGCAGCAGCGCGCAGTGATCGCAAAAACTCTAATACCCGGGGGAAATGCTCCACGCGGCGTCCCCGCACCACTTGCCAGGTGGCCGCGGCTGCGAAGCGCAGAGCCGCGGGACCGGCCCCCGGGGGCGTGGCCATGGTCGGCGGGCTCCGCCCCGGGGGCAGTCCCTATGGGTTCCTTCTTCCAAGGCGAGCCTTCTTCACTCCTCCTAGAGGCGAAGCTTCGGGTGCCTCTCAGCGGCTAGGCTATTTGGATCTGAGCCGGATAATTCACGATCCGATCCCTTCCATAGGTCACCAGAATCCTGGAGGTCTTCAACTCGGGATGGAGCCTGAATGGAGAAGCTGGCCAGCTACAATAGCACCAGATTCGCTGTTTTCCACACCGCCGCCCCTGCAGCCGAGGGCTACCCCACTTCCGGCCCCTGCGGCCAGTCTATCGGCCCCGGAAAAGGGCGGTAATGGAGAACCAATAGGACATCAGACAGGGAGACGTGACATCGCGTCATAAGGCCACGCCCCAACAGATAGGGCGTCTCTTCCGCCCCCGCTATCTCCGTCCGGTGCCACAGCTGATCGTGGCTCTCCGGACCCCCGCCTTTCTTCGCGGAGCGTACAAAGTCACGTCCTTCGCTAAGGCGTGGCTTGGTTGTGTGGAAAGAGAGGATCATGCCTTGCCCTTCCCCGTCGTCTTCTCCATTGAAATACGATTCTTCAAATCCTGGCCTCAAAGCAGCGCCAGCAAAGCCTTCCCGGCGACGAGCCACCTCCAGTAAAAATTCGACTGTTTCTTTCACAAAACAGGAGAGGGCGCCCGTCTTTAAAAAATAAAGTACTGAACAAAGTTTGAAAAGATACATCAGGTTGTTAACTTGGTTTTCTCTGGATGGTCAGACTGTGCTTTTTTTTTTTTTTTTTTTTTTTTTTTTACCCTGTAATTTTAAAATAAATGAAAAATTAGTTTTCCTTTTTCGGATTTCTGTTGTTGGCTTACTCCAGTCAGCCCCTCAATGTGATCGACTTACTTGTCTCCTTGTCTCCTTGTCACTCTTCCTGGTGCCTCTCCTTTATTTTCATCACCAAGTACAGAACCTGGCACACAGGTTGTATTCTTTAAATGTTGGTTGAATGAGATGCACCTGGGTGGCTCATTCCGTTAAGCGTCTGACTTCTGCTCAGGTCATAATCTCACAGTTTGTGAGTTCCAGCCCCATATTGGGCTCTCTGCTGTCAGCACGGAGCCTGCTTGGGATCTGTCTCTCTCTCTCTGCCCCTTCCCCGTCACACTCTCTTTCTCTCAAAAATAAATAAACATTAACATTTTTTCTTTAAAAAAAAAAAAGTTGGTTGAATGAATTACCTTCCCTGACTACATTGTAAGGATTTAGTGGAACTACCCTTGTCTTGGACCATCTCCTCTCTTAGAGGTAGTACCTGCAGGATCCCTCCTTGAGCCACCCAAGGTCATTCTGCTGAGGTGATCCACAGAGATTTCTGGACAGAACACTGGACATTATCTTCCCTTTTAAATTCTGCTCTTCCTCCTGGGCTTTATATTTCTGTGCAGGGCACCTCTCCTCACCTGTGGGTTAGAAACCCAGACCATAGCCCTTAACTCATTCCTCCCTCCTCTCCACATCCAATCCATCATCAAGTCTAATCAGTTCTACTTCCTATGGAAACTTCCAACCCACCCCCATTTTCATTCTCACTCCCTCTTTCCTATTTCAAGTTTTTCTCTCACCAACCTCTCATCTTCAGTCCAACTCCTTTCTAATTTCTTTTCCACGTTGCTTTCATCATGAATCTTGTGAAATGCAAAACTGATCATATCATTCCTAACTGAAAGCCCTCTCTTACATTCAAAAGAAAGCCCAAGCTCTGAAATATGGCAAAAGGATTTTTAATGATCTGGCCAAACTTCTCTTCATCCATACTCCTTGCCACTTTGCCCTTATGCACCTATATGCCAGACTTCATCAAATTGTTTTCATTTTCCAAATATACCGTGTTGTCTTACATTGCTGTGCATGGTGCATACTGGATGATTCCTCTGTCCTCCATGCCTCTTGGACTTCACTTTTTCTCATCTTTTGTGGTTCATCCACCTCCATGAAGCCCATCATAGTTCTCTTCTTGGGATCCTCAATACATCTTTTTATTACCACCATTGTCACACAGAACCTATCTTGGAAGGTTGTTGTAAGGATTAAATAAATTAGTAAATATAAAGCACTCGAAACAGTTCCTTGGGGCGCCTGGGTGGATCAGTCAGTTGAGCGCCCGGCTTCAGCTCAGGTCATGATCTCTCTGTGGGTTTGAGCCCCACATCAGGCTCTGTGCTGACAACTCGGAGTCTGGAGCCTGCTTCGGGTTCTGTGTTTCCCTCTCTCTCTGCCTTTCCCCCACTCACACTGTCTCTCTCTGTCTCTCAAAAATAAATAAACGTTAAACAAAAAAACAATTAAAAAAGAAAAGAAAAGACAAGAAAAGAAAAGAAAAAAGAAAAGAAAAGAAAAGAAAAGAAAAGAAAAGAAAAGAAAAGAAAAGAAACAGTGCCCGGCTCATAGTAAGTACTACATATGCATTGTATTCTGAATGTTTACATGTCCGTCACCCCCACTGGGTGGGAGCCTCTTGAGGGAAGACCTTGTTTCTTTCTTGTACATACAGCACCTTGTTTATATGTTTACAGCTAATACAAACAGCTCCTTTTTTAGCCTCTTTTACTGCCTTAGAAAACCCCTTGTCTTACAAGTCTTCTTAAATTCGAAGGTTCAAGAAGACAAGTGGTCAGAACTGAGAACTTTGGGCACATAGTCTCATGGCTACTGCTGGCCCCAGAAGGGTGTGGGCAGGGAGAACAGTACAGCAGAGAAGAAAAAGAGAAGGTGATTGTTCTCAGTCCTTACTGTGCCTAGGAGTCAACCTCTTAGTGATCTTGTTAAAATACAGACTTCTTGGCCTCTGCTCCAGGAATTCGGGTTCATGAGGTTTATGCTGGCACCCAGAGGGGCGCCTGGGTGGCGCAGTCGGTTAAGCGTCCGACTTCAGCCAGGTCACGATCTCGCGGTCCGTGAGTTCGAGCCCCGCGTCGGGCTCTGGGCTGATGGCTCAGAGCCTGGAGCCTGTTTCCGATTCTATGTCTCCCTCTCTCTCTGCCCCTCCCCCGTTCATGCTCTGTCTCTCTCTGTCCCAAAAATAAATAAAAACGTTGAAAAAAAAATTTATGCTGGCACCCAGAAATCTGAATTCTTGATTAATGTCTCAGTTGATTCTAATATAAGTGGTCTAGAGACTATGCTCAAAGAACCCCGGGGTAAGGGAACAGTTTCATTCAAACCAAAACCAAATCTTCCAAGTCACCTGAAGGAAAATTTCCAGGTAGAAGAGAGCTATACAAAGGGTATTGACTCTGTATCTCCGAACCTCAACTTCCCCTGCAGTTTCCTGTCTCTGATGAGGGACACCTGTCCCTGTATCAGTGGATGGCACTCAGTTGGTCCTCTTCCACAAACCTGAAACCCGGGGGTTTTCTTATTACTGCTCCTCTCCACCCTCCACGCAGCTACATCCCATCCTTCCCCAAGTCGTGTAAATTCGCTCTCCTAGGGACTCCTGCAAGCTTTCCACTCTGTCTCCAGCACCACCACGCTGGCCCAAACTACCATCTCTAGCATAAACAACCAGAGTTGCCTTCCAGTCTGTGTCTCTGCTTCCACACTAACCCTGCTCCAATCTATTCTTGACACTACAAGCAGAGTAATCTGTTCAAAACACAATCTGGCCATGTCATCTCCAATTCCTTAAAGCTTTCAAAGGTTTCTTACTGCTCTAGGGAAGACAAAGATCCTGAATCTGACCTATGAGGCGCCTTGTGTGGCCCTGCGCCCCTCAACTCCTCAACTCCACCTCCTCCACTCTGCCCTTTGCTCCTCTGCCTTGGCCACATTATCCTTCTTTGAGTCTTGCTTACTCTTCCAGACTCCCTCCCACCACAGGATCTTTGCAGAGGCTATTCCTTTTGTCTGTAGTGATCTCCCTTCCCTTTCTGCCTAAATATGGTCCAGGGTCACCTATTTAGGGAAAGCTTTCCTAACCACCACAACCAGGCTAGGTCACATGCCTTTACTATAAACTTCAGAGCTACTTACTTTGTCTCATGCAGTTATTCAGTTAATCTGTTTCTTTCTCAGACTGCAAGCTCCACAGGGCAAGAACTAGGGTTGTCCTGTGCGCCACCACTTAGTTAATTGCTTGACACACATCATTAAATGTTTGTTTAATAAGTGAAGGAATGGGTCCATTAGCCACCACCATGGCTGGACCCTGCCAGTCAATGTCGCCTGTGAAACTCGGGTCCAAATGTGGACAAACATTCCCTTTCCAGGGTAGACCTTAGAACAGTTGAAGGTAGCCATTATTTAAAAAAATTAACTTTATTTTAAATAAAGTTCAGGGGTGTCTGGGTGGCTCACAGTCAGTTAAGTGACTCTTGGTTTTGGCTCAGGTCATGATCTCACAGTTTGTGAGTTCGAGCCCCCAAGTCGGGCTCTGAACTGACAGCCACAGAGCCTGCTTGGGATTCTCTGTCTCCCTCCCCTGCTTGCTCTCTATCTCTCTTTCTCAAAATAAATAAATAAACATTTAAAAATAAAATAAAAGTGCAGGGGCAACTGGGTGGCTCAGTCAGTTAAAGCCTCTCTTGATTTCAGCTCAGGTCATGATCTCACGGTTTGTGAGATTCGAGCCCCGTGTCAGGCTTGTGCTGACAGCAGGGAGCCTGCTTGGGATTCTCTCTCTCTCCCTCTCTCTCAAAATAAATAAATAAGCTTTAACAAAAAAGAAAGAAAAAGGTAGGAAGGGAGGGAGGGAGGGAAGAAGAGCAACCATTATGGTCTTATCCATAAATCTGGGAAACATTTATAAGTCACATCTTGTAAATTTTTGCTTTTGTATTTGTAATTAGCTCCACCTGGCTTACTATCCAGAAAATAAAATCTTCCTTTTGGTGTTTTTACTTCTTTTAGAATTTTCCAAGCACTCCATCCAAAAGGCCCAGCCTTCTAGCCTCCATGTTTATCTGGGGAGAGCCCTGCTGTCCACAGGGTCTGCCATACTTCTATCTCCTCAATGGCCTCTTACAAAATCAAGTACAGAGGTTGGTACATGTACTCTCAGGCTTCAACACCGAGGTCCGGACTTTGCTCCCTGGGCCAGGGGGCTGTAGGAGATTCTAGCATTAGCCATCAGCCTTGCCAAATCAAACCCACTCAGCTGGGATTCAGGGACCCTGATACCAAGCCTGGTTCTCCAAGCCTGGGATGGTCCCCTCCCCTGCTTTTAGGCCTCTGTTAAAGCTACCACAGTCCTCATTAACGTTTCCAGCTGTAAATGTTAGGGTAGAAGGAATTAAAGAGAATACTGGTTCTTTACACTAGGTTACTGATGCAAAGAATCCACCTCCTCCCTAGTGATCAACTTTGTATACCAGGTGTCCCAGGAGAACCAAAACAGGTCACAAAGACTCCGAGACAATGACCTGCCTCATCGGTGCTGGGGCACCAACTAAGAGGGCAACTCTAGTGGATTTTGTAAAACCAAGACTCATAACACCTTCTTGTTATTTAAAAACAAAACAAGACACTCTGTAATACAGAGGATGATGTCAAGGAAATAATCATATAAACGAATATAAACTAGCAGGAAACAGGGTTCCCTAGTACAATTTTCTGAGGTACAGTCTCAGTAGGAGTCTGTAATGATGGTTATTACTCAGCTCCCCAGGTGCCCACTGATCTTGCTTTTCTAGAGCTGGTCCAGTCATGCACCATGCATTCTTCCGACAAATGCTCCAAAACACAATCCTCCACTGCTCCCCCAAGCCCTCAGACTCCCCATCACCGTCAAATTTAGTTCATCCTCCATTCGACAGATATTTATGGAGCACCTGCCGCATGTCACAGACTGTGTGAATCTCCCGTAAGTAAGAGAGAGGTGGTCCCTGTCCTCAGGGACTTACATTCCAGTGGAGGAGAGCTAAAGGTCCAGGGCCAGAGCACAGTAAGCCAAGACACTAGGGATTCTAATGCCTAACTCCACAGAATTAAAGGAGATGCCCCTATCAAGCACCCAATTTGAACTTAACTCACAGTAGGACCTCGGTATGTATGTATTCGCTTCCTTCCCCCAAGTGTTTGGAGAACAGCTGGCCCTCCCCCTTTTTTTGTGTTTGTGTTTTCCTTCTTGAGGATTTCAAGTATGTTTCAGCTCTCACAAACCACAGGGGACCAGGGTAAAATGAACAAATGTGAAGCAAGTTACAAAATTGTTAGAAATCTTAAGCTGGCCAGGTGTTCAATAAAAAGAGATACTATTGTGTTGCTGTTCTTTCTGGAAACCAATTAACAAAATGTTTTGACCACTTTACAGTTGCTCAATCCCTTTCCCCCAATAACTCTCACTTTAAGAAGTTATTTTAGGGGCGCCTGGGTGGCGCAGTTGGTTAAGCGTCAGACTTCAGCCAGGTCACGATCTTGCGGTCCGTGAGTTCGAGCCCCGTGTCGGGCTCTGGGCTGATGGCTCAGAGCCTGGAGCCTGTTTCCGATTCTGTGTCTCCCTCTCTCTCTCTGCCCCTCCCCCGTTCATGCTCTGTCTCTCTCTGTCCCAAAAAATAAATAAACGTTGAAAAAAAAATTAAAAAAAAAAAAAAGAAGTTATTTTAGGGAAATAAAAAATGAGCACAAAGATACATGCACTTGTACAAGGATATTTATCCCAGCTCTGCATGTAAGAGCAGAACATTGGGAAGACTGAAATTTCCAGCAAGGAGGGATTAATCAAATAAATCATGGCACTCTATGGTAGACAGTGTTTGTTCATTTGTCATTAAAAATGTAGGGATACCACTGGAGTTTGCTCCATAAATTCAAGGAACAATTAAAGATCACATCTTGCAAGTTGTTACTTTAAAAAAAATTTTTTTTTTGGAGGGGGGTGGTGCCTGGGTGTCTCGGTGGGTTAAGCATCCAACTTCAGCTCACATCATGATGTTCTGGTTTGTGGGTTGGAGTCCTGCATTGGGGTCTGTGCTGACAGCTCAGAGCCTACAGCCTGCTTTGGATTCTGTGTCTCCCTCTCTCTCTGCTCCTCCCCTTGCTCACACACACACATACTCTCTCTTTCTCTCAAAAATAAACAAACATAAAAAACATTTTTTTTTAATGTTTATTTTTGAGAGACAGAGCGCCAGCTGGAGGGGAACAGAGACAGAGAGGGAGACACAGAATCCAAAGCAGGTTCCAGGCTCTGACCTTGTCAGCACAGAGCCCAATGTGGGGCTCAAAGTCATGAACTGTGAGATCACGACCTGAACTGAAGTCAGATGCTCAACAGAATGAGCCACCCAGGCGCCCCCTTTTATTATTATTATTATTATTATTATTATTATTATTAATGACAAGTTGTTGCTTTTAAATGGCAAGGAGCAAATATCTCTTGTGCAGTCCTGTGATTGGCCCTGTTATAAGTCCTGGGACAGGGGTGTGAACCAGACAAAGTCTCAGTTCTTACTAAACTCACATTTCAGAGAAAAGAGACAATTTAATAAATAAACAAACATGCTAATGCCAAGAAGTGCTTGGCAGGACATGAAATAAAATTGGGTGATATGCTAAAGAGACCAGGGGGCAGGAAAACAAATTAGATTGAAGGTCAGGGAAGAGCTCCCTGAGGAGATGGACCTGTGAGCTGAGGCCTGAATAACAGGAGGGGACTGGGCTTGCAATCTGGGGGCAGTGTTCTTCCAGAAGGAAAGTCAGGGGCCAGGCCCATAGAAGGTTGTTGGGTTTTGTTTGTTTTTAATGTTTATTTATTTTGAGAGAGAGTGCCATTGCGGGAGAGGGGCAGAGAGAGGGAGATAGAATTCCAAGCAGGCTCTACGCTGTTAGCACAGAGCCCAACACGGGGATGGGTCTCACAAACCTTGAGATCATGACCTGAGCTGAAATCAAGAGTCAGACGCTTAACTGACTGAGCTACCCAGGTTCCACCCCCCGCCCCCGCAAAGGTTTTGAGCAGAGGACTGACACGATTGGATTCACCCACCCATTCTGCAAAGCAGAGTATCAGAGGGCACGAACGGAAGTGGGGGAAATGATTAGGAGACTGGGGCAACAATCCAGGTGAGAGATGAAGGGAGTTCTGGGAGCTGAAGAGGTGATGGGTGGTCAGACTCTGGACATCTGTATATGGGAGACAGACCATCAAGACTTGCTGGGAGGGGCGCCTGGGTGGCTCAGTCAGTCAAGCGTCCGGCTTCAGCTCAGGTCACGATCTCACAGTTGGTGAGTTCGAGCCCCACATAGGGCTCTGTGCTGACAGCTCAGAGCCTGGAGCCTGCTTTGGATTCTGTGTCTCCCTCTCTCTGCCCCTCCTCTGTTCGGGCTCTCTTTCTCTCAAATATAAGTAAACATTTAAAAAAAAGGAGAGAGACAGAGAGAATAACATTAAAAGACTGGCTGATAGACCAGAAGTGGGATATGAGAGAAGGAAAGAAGCCAAGAGTGACTTCATGCTTTGGGGCCCATGAAACTTGGAAAGATGGAGTTGCCATTTACTGATATGGGGAGGCCGTGGGATAGGCTGGAGGAGGTCAGGAGTTTGATCTCAGACAGTACATGGGGGGCATCTGTGAGTCTCCAGCAGACGCGCTAAGAAGGCAATAGATAAGGGAGTTTAAAGTTCAAGGAAAACAGATGCAATTTGGGGAGCCAGTGGTCCTTAAGACCACGTGACTGGCAGGACTCACCTAGGCAGAGTGTAGCTGGTTGGGGGAGCGCCTGGCTGGAGGCCTGAGTCACTCTGACACCCCAAGGCTGAGCAGGGGCTTCAGGAGGACCAGGAGGATGGCCTGGAAGTCAAGACTACTGCCCAGTCTGTAAACATGATGGTTTCAAAGATTATTTAATGCTGTGAGAAAATGCTCACCACAGGTTACACCGTGTGGGGGGTGAGGGGGGATCGGCATATGAAACACAATGTTAACGGCTGTCTGTTTTCTGTACCTGGTGGTAGTTGAAGCTTATTGTTCTTTTCTCCTTTACAGTTTTCCGTGTCTTCTGAATTCTCAACATTGAACATGTGTTGCTTTTATAAATATTCTTAGCCAAACACATTTGAAAACAAATATTGGAAAGTGGTTTTTGCTGCTCAGAGAGGACTCCAGCCTAGTTCTACCTCAAACGTGTGCCTACAAGAGGACACTTCGATCCTTCTCACCCACCGTGGGTGCCATGGAAGGGAGGCAGTCCCGCCTCACTCCGGGGGCCTTCAGAAGGGTTTTTGGTCAGTTAGAAGCATCCTGGAGTGGGGAAAGACCAGTCAAATGTTCAAGGTCGTCCTGACGCCAAGCAGGCCCTATCTCAAGAGCTGCTGTGCTGGCAGCAGGGACAGACGAACTGGTAGATGGACAGAACGGTTTCATTAAAAACGGTTCATTAAAAAACAGTTTATTAGCATCTGTGCTGCCCAGTGCAACTGAAGAGCGGCCCCCTTCCCAGGTGCCCCGGCCTCCCCACCTGAACCTATGGAGAGCAGCTCTGCGCTGGGTCCCTGCGAGGCAATGTCCTTGCTCCTCTGACTCCAGTCCCATTGCTCCCGGCCAGGGGTTAAGCTCCACCTCGAGATGCCATAGGGATGGTCTCCCCTGAGTGACTGTCGCCTCCAGCATCTGAGAAGAAGCCTCCGCTCCCAGGGGCCGGAGCCACGTCCACCTGGATGACACCATGCACCTGGGAGAGCTGGGGGCTGTCCAAGCTGGCGATGAGCTGGCGGGGGCCTGGTCGCACAGGCACAAACTTCTGGTGCAGCGTCACTGTCTCGTTGCCCCCAATGTCCCTATGGGCAAAGATAGAGTCATGGACCTGGGTGACTGGGGGTGGAGTGGGGAGGAAGGACTGATGGGGCTGCCAGGAAGGAAGGAGCAGAAGGTGGAGCCCTTTGGGCATTTCTGGACTCAGCTGGAATCTCCACACCAGTGGCCAGGACGAAGCCGGAGCCCCAAGGCCTCCTTGCCCTTGCCTCTGCATAGCCAGGTCAGTGGCCACCCACCGAGCTGCCTGAGCTGGAAATCTTCCCATCATCTGTCATCCAGGGATCCATCCCTCCCTCCCCACCCCCACAAACACCTGGACAAAGACTGCATGTCGTGTCCCCCACCTCTCCATCGCCAATGCTCCTGCCCTAACCAGACCAGCCACCCCATCTCATCTGGGGGTTCCAGGACCAAGGAAACTTTAAAATGAGACTTCGGGGCTCAACGCAGTGTTGCCAAATAATTTCAGTTTTGCCAAGAAAGAAAGTGGAAGATAATTAATCAGCCTCTGCAATATAATCATCTTACCAAAGAGGAAGGAGCATCTTTAATACCTCCAAACACTGGAAAGATGTTATCTCAGAGAAAAAGGAAAGTCCTTCCCAAGAATAGACAATTGGCATCTTTAAAGGGACAACTGTGTGTGTGTGTGTGTGAGAGAGAGAGAGAGAGAGAGAGAGAGAGAGAGAGAGAGATACATGTGTACACAGACATACTATGGTGTCTTCATTTCCCCCCTTCTCCATGGACCTCTGGAAATTTAGTCCCAGACCCTCCCTCTGGGAATCACAATTTCACTAGCCTTCCAACTGGCCTCCTTGCCTCCTAATGTCCTATCTTATTTTCCCACTCTAGTTTCTAGTCACTTGGAGGTGAACTGAATCCGTCAAGGGTTTGGCTTCCTCGGTGCTTCTGGGATGAGACGGCAGCTCCCTAACCCGACACGCAGGCTCACTCTGACTCAGCCCCGCCTGCAAGGCCTCATCATCCCCCACCATTCCTCCTGCCCACCAGCCCCAACAATGAGCTCCTTCCCCTCCCCGAACTCACCTCTGTTTTCATGCTTTGCTCCTGGGCTGGCTCCAGGCCCAGCTCACACCACCCCTTGAGCACCTCCTGCCCTCAGGGAAGTGAACCTTGTCCTGCTCTGAGCTCCTGCAGTAATCGGCCTGTGCATTGTATACACTGAACACGATTGCATTTCTATCACACCTGCTTGTGCCTGTTAGCATCTGTCCTTTCCTGCCTCTGCCTGAACCCTTGCCTCTGGCCCCCTCTTCAATCCAAGCCTGCCTTGGGGGATCCACTCTGGAGCCGGACTTTGTGCAGACATCTCAGTCTTCTAAGGGAAAGAGCCAACATCCCAACTTCAAAGATGGGCTCTCCTTGGGGCAAAACATTTAGCTTGGAGCCTGCTTCCAAAGGGCTGCCCTGGACCACATTGGACTCTTTCTTCTACCGCTGTTAGCTGTGTGGTTTAGGACAAATTATTAAACTTCTGACTCTCACTTTTTGGTCTGTAAAATGGGAATGAATATAAAATGAGGGGGTGGAATCAGATGGCCTTGAAGGTGACTCTAAGCTCCACAAAGGAGGGAATAAGTGGAAGGCAGGGAGATATAGATGGTCTCCCCATTAAGTTACAGACCTAATTTCTAGACTTATTATAATATATAACTAGACATTAAGTCTGTAACTTAACAGGTAGGCTATACTGTGGCCGGTTACAAATTCGCATTTTTAACTCATGCCCATTTTTCCAGAGATACAAACTTCAAGCTGTTTAGGCTCAGGTCAGCCTTCAACACTGTACTTAATTCATACTAGAATTGAACTGTACTAGATCGGAATACAGCCTTTACTTGTAAACGTTATTTCTAAGAGAAATTGCTTTTCAGCTTCCAGCTAGGAATGTCAAGATCTCTCCCAGCCCCGGCCTCAGTGTCAGGCAAGACCTGACACACCCAGGTCTGCTGGTTGAAGTTGAGCGCATCAGCTGCTACAGCTGGAATGGGCCTGAAACAGTGCAGGTAATGAAACTGGCTCTCTGACAAGGACACCAGAAATTAGACATCCAAATGAGCATCGTGCTTCACTTATGGATTGGTTCAATCACGTTATCAAGCCTTGAAACGAATTTAAAAACTCCTCTCAGATTTGTCTTCAGAGCCACGGAAAACCACACGTACACCACGTCTGTCTCTCTCTCCCTCTCCCTGACACGCACCGGGTGCATCCTGTTCCTCCCTCACAGCCGAACCTCATTTCTGATGGAAAAGGGCACACTACCCACCTTTTCCACCTACCTTCTTAATTAGTCTTAGCTTTGAATGGCTTCAGGCTGTTTCTCCAAAGTCAAGTCTACCCCAGAAGGCCACCCTTAAGGACATTCTAGAGAATATGATTCAGGCTGTGGAGCAAATTCCCCAGAAGGGTTTGGAATAGACTTCAGCCTCCCCTGGTGACTGGCTTGGCGGTGAGTGACAACAGCCATCTGGAGGAGTAAGTTTGTAATGTTTATTAAGTGGCCAGTCACCCCACTGGGTGGCACACCTATGGTTAATGGGGTTTCCATACCACAGCCTTTGATGTGCAAACGAGAGCAAAGTAATATCTGTCTTGGAATCTAATATATCTGAACCAACAGCCCAGGGACTTCCCCCTTCTCAATTGCTCTGTAGACCCCCGCCTGGGCTTGCAGCAGAGAAGAGCCACAGAATGTCTAAGGAGGACCTCCCTTGAGAAACCATCATCCAACCTTCTCATTTACTGGAGAGAAGACTAGGGCCTTTAAGGTGGGGGGTGGGGTGTCACACAAGCCCCACAGCTACAGAGCGGGGCTGGATCTCCCCATGCTCAGCACAGGGGTCCTCTTTTTACTCCCAGGCAGGGGCAAGAATCAAAGATGTGGTGGAGTTGCTGAGGACAGTCCAGCTCTGGGGAGCCCTCTGAACAGGGGAAACCCTCGTCATCTGCAGGTGAGAGATGGCCACAGAGTGAGCTCACTGGGAGCCCCAAGGTGCACAGTCTAAGCTGCTGGACACTCTTGCAAGGTGAAATGGGGAAGGCACTCCTTTGTGGCATATCACGTCACACAGGGTCAAGGTGGGGCAAGGCTCAGGATAGCAACCTTTCAGCTTTGACCTATTGGCAAAAGCGGGGGCCACCACCGGGCGGAGCCTGCTATATGTCCCGGGGAAGGAAGAGGCAGGGCGGGCAGGGACCCTCTGCTTCCCCCACCCAACCCCTCCACAGGGGCCATCCCTTTCCCTCAGGCACTCTTTGTCAAAAGAGGAAAACACCTGCCCCCGTCACCAGAAGTCTGATCTTAAAGGTCAGCCAGCCTCTGGCCTTCTCTGCTTTCCTTCTGTGCTATTCCAGGGAGGGTCACAGCAGCATGTGTGGCTCTGTGTCAGAGATGACAGCCCAGGCCTAGGCACACAAGCGCTGGGTGTGCCCTCCCTGGGTGCAGAGCCTCTCTGAGCCCGGGGTGAGGCCCAGGTGGGCTGGCAGAGGACCTACGGGACAGGGCCCTCTCCTTGGGAACCGCTGCTCGAGCCCTCCTGGCACAAACGAAGCCACAGGCCTGAGAGCCTGCGTGTTGGGTGGGCCATGGTGGGAAGAGCAGAGTCTGCCCCTTACGGGCTGGGAGACCTCATGAGACACGGCCACCAGCTTCCCTGTCATAAAGCGGAGGTGACGGTAGCAATAATCAAAGTAAGAACTACCAACAGAGGCTCACGTTGTGCCAAGCCCAACACCAGATGCTTTATATGCATAGCTCACCGAATTCTCACAACCACCCTTGGAGCCAGGAACGGTTGCTATCCCCACTTTCCAGCTGAGAAAACAGGCTTAAAGGAGATAAGTCACTTGCCCAAGGGCACATAGCTAGTGAATGTTGGAGCTGAGACTTGAGCCTAAGTTTTCAGGATCCCAAATCTTTGCTTTTAATCATACGATGCTCTCTAATGTACTTTAAAGGGTTTTTTGTGGTCTGCAAATTGGATAATAATCCTGAAGTGCCTGGTCAATTCCTGAGTGGCGGGCGCATGTTAGTGATGAGCTGCTACGGATTCCTAGGTGAAGTGTTGGTTCCGCAGCGGGACAGTGAGGAAGGACAGGCCCCGCACTAGGCACATGGCGGGTCTTAAATGCTGCTCCCACTGAACTAAGTTAGAAGGCCTTGCTGGCTGGCTCCAGGCTGCTGTGTTGGGTCCTGACCGACTACTGTCCTGACCCAAGACAGGAAGCAATGTGGGGCCCCTGGCAGTCTGGGAGAGCAGAAAAGGGCAGGGGTGGGGGCGGGGAGAGGCCAGACTCACCCCACATTGAGGATCTTGGGTCTCTGTAGCCCGGAGCCCTCAAGCCGGAAGACGACATTGGTGAGGGTTATAGGCAGCGGGTTCTTGAAGACAATCTGTACTTCGCACTCCTGACCAACCACGGCTGCCCCCAACAACTAAGAGAAAAAGAGACACCCCCCTCTGCATCAGAGACCCTGGCCAAATACAAGGGAATCATACACTCCACCAGAGAGGGGAAAATTCCAGAATCAAAACCTCCCCCCAAGTCCCACATGGGCACCCCGGAGAAGAATGGGGCTCCGTGGATGCCAGAGAAGAAACTCCCACCCACTCCCCCACTGAAGCATCTGCAGGATCGGGAATAGGAGATCTGATTTTACAGGGGAGGACATTGGGGCCCAAGAGCCCACAGCCAGTCCCTGACCTTCTCCGGAACTGGTGGCCAGGCTTAGCGTCCTCTCCCCTCCCCCTCCGACTTCCCTTAGCCCCAGGGCATCCCTCGTGCCCAGCCCAGCAGGCTGCACTCACGGTGAGGGAAAGGTCAGGGGTGCGCAGACGGAAGGTGTGCTGCTTGGCCAGCACCTGCCCGTTCTCCTTGACGTGGCCCGAGACGTTGAGCAGCATGGACCCCTGATCTACGAGGTGGGGCCGGTATTCCTTGTAGGCCACAGGCATGGACACGCGGTCCGCTGGGGGAAGAGGCAAGGTGTCACCTAGGCCCGCTCGCCCAGACACGGCCTCCTGGGGCCTCCATGTCCACAGCCCGGGGTGCCTGGCCATCAGCGGGGCAGGGTGGGAAAGGAGCACTCACAGGCCCCTGGCGCCAGCACCACTTCTTTCTTGCTCTCCTTGAAGACAGACCCGGTGACACCGGTGTAGAAGGTGACCGAGAGGTAGAGGTGCAGCTTCACGGTGCGGCGGCTGCTGCTGCGATTGGTCAGCACCACGCAGACGGTCAGGTCCTGCCCCATCACCGCGTCCTGTGCCTCCACCTGCATCGCCACATCCTCTGCTGAGTCACGCGTGGAGTACACGTTGGGTTTGCTGCCGTGGGCGGCTGCTGTCTCCACTGCCTTCCGCTCTGCTTCTGAGCCTGGGGGTTGAGGGTAAGGGTGAGGTTACAGCCACTGCCGGAGTGGGCAAGTGCTCAGTGGGAACCTTTGGTGTGGGCCAGAGCTGGCCAGGTTCAGGGAACGGTACCTTCTGGGTGTTTATAAATGTGGGTGACATCATCTCGCATGTTGGATCCAATGGCCTTTGTTATGATGAGCGTACCAATGGCCTTCTCTTCCACATACACGATCTTAAAGCTGCCATCATCCTGTCGCTGCCAGTAAACTTTGTCACTGTTGACCTGTTGGGGGATTGTGGGGGGTGTGAGCCAAGAATGAGATAACCAGAGGGTCTGAGGCTGGGCCTGACCCCCTGCTCCCCCCTCCCCCCACCACTCCCCCCCCCTCCACCCACTGCCTTCCCCTGAACCTAGGAGCTGCAGGGAGGGCTGGATCCAAGGGTTAGGAACTTCCTGGCACAGCCAACCTGGGAGACTTTCCAAGCTGAGCCAGATGAGGCCAGAGAGAAGGGAAGAAGTTGGGAGGCTCCTTGCAGTGCATTTTGGCATTAATAACAGTAATCCCTTATGCTCATTCACGGACTTTATGACTTATAAAGCAGATTCATACCCATTATTTCTTTTGATCCTGAGTACAGGAAGCACAGCGGCCATTATTATCACCCTTTTACAGATGAGGAAACCTAGACTCTAAATGAGTGACTTTCCCAAGGTCACACAGCTACTCAGTCAGCGGTGAAGTCAGGACCAGAGAACCGAGGCCTGACACTTGTGCTCTGGTCTCTCCAGACCACCCAAGAAGGCACCTGGAACACAGCCCTCACCTCAGCAAAAATGAAGGGCGTGTCGTATTTCATGTATACCAGGCCATTCTTGATGGACTCCACAGAGCAGGGGCCGCAGCAGAAGATGCCTAGGAGACCAGGACAGAGGTGAGAGATCCCAGGAGGCTGAGGGGATCCTCTGATCCTAGGGAGAGGCCCACCCACCCAGACCCTGGTGCCTTAGGTCAGCTGCCACCTGGTCCAACCCAGGGAAGGAACACCAAGAAAAGCACAGTTCCATTTGGCTTCAGTCAACAAGGGTGAGGCCAAAGGTGGGACAAGCCGGCCTTGATAACCAAGTTATCAAGACATCTTTCCTCTACTGGGCGAAGCTGGATATCAACTGTGACCCCTAGAAGTCAGGAAACCCATCCTGCATCAAGACAAACCCAGACCCCAGGGTGACTCTGTTTACTGGCTGGGAAAGCAGCCACCATTCCAGAAAGATCCAGAACAAACCCTCAGCTCTACAGCCTGCAGTGTGTCTTCTCTGTGGGGAGGTGAGAGGGGAGCTGGTGGGAAATAGATTCGTCTCTTGGCATGCTTGGAGGGTTTTCTGGAGGAGATGGGCTGACAAGGAAAAGGCTTGACAAGAGAGGGCACAAAACAGGAAGTGAGGGCCACCCAACAGGAAAGATTCTTAGAAAACACCTAACTATGGTTTCCTTTTACAGATAGGGACACAGGCTCAGGGAAGCCAAATAGATGTCAAGATCTGCAAGACAGTCAGACAAAGAAAGAATGGAAGAAGCTACTATTTACTGAAGAGCTACTGTTCCAGACATGCTGTTATCCTCTCTGATATATGATGATCTCACTTAATTCCCCCAACAACCCCATCTGGTATATATTATCCCCATATTATAAGTGATCAAGCTAGAATCAGACCTGGGTCTGGCTGGTCTCAGAACCCCTGCCTGCTGTCCACCCCGTTACTTCCCAGAGTGGGGACAGGAGCTCAGATCCCCCAGTATCCCAGGCCAGGCTGTTCCAGCATCATGGGCAGTGTCTGGCTGCACAAGGCAGGGGGCACTGTTCACAGAGATGATTGAGAGGGAGGAATGCAGGTTAGGCAAGGGCTATCTGGCGTGGGGTGAGGAAGGGAGAGGTGGGGAGGAAGGCAGCAGGAGGGGCAGGCCCAGCTGCCTGGTGCTGGAATGTAAAGGTGGAAGCGGACGGCTGTTTGAGAACAGCGCGTACAGCAGGTCTGGTGTTTGAGGAAATGTGTGTGCTGTGGAAAAGACATCAGCAGGTCATGCCATCAGTGATGATCTCTTAGGGCTCGGTTATGGGGCCTAGTTTCTTCCTCCGACCTATCCGAACTCTGGCATTTTCCATCCTGTACACACAACTCATAACGAGCAACAGAACAGACAAGAGAAGAACTTGGTGAAAGTCAGAATGCATAAAGGGAGTCAAGGCCTGGTGAGACTCTGCTGCTGACCTGATGCCCCTTGCCCTGGAGAAAGTCACTCCACCTCTCTGGGCCACCCCTTCTCATGTGTCCCACAAGGGCCTGCAGTGGTCCTAAACCCAGCTCATCTTCAGTGTCACCAAGGGAGCTTTCAAAAATGTAGATCTAGGGGCGCCTGGGTGTGGCTCACTCGGTTAAGTGTCCAACTCTTGAGTTTGGCACAGGTCGTAATCTTCCGGTTCATGAGTTCAAGCCCTGCATTGAGCTCTGTGCTGACAGTATGGAGCCTACTTGGGATTCTCTCTCTCTCTCTCTCCCTCTCTCTCTGTCTGCCCTTCCCCTGCTCATACTCTCTAAATAAATAAATAAATAAATAAATAAATAAATAAGTACATCTATCCCTGGAATCTCTGAAATGTCAGGTCTGGGGTGGGACCTAGACATTTACTCAAACAAAACAAAAACGGGGACGTCTAGGTGGCTCAATCAATTAAGTGTCTGACTCTTGATTTCAGCTCAGGTCATGATCTCACTGTTTGTGAGTTTTGAGCCTTGTGTCAGGCTCTGTGCTGATAGAGCAGAGCCTGCTTGGGACTCTCTCTCCCTGCCCCTCCCTGCTTATCTCTCTCTCTCTCTCAAAAATAAATAAGCATTTAGGGGCATCTGGGTGGCTTAGTCAGTTATGCGTCCAATTTCAGCTCAGGTCATTCATGATCCCCCAATTTGTGGGTTCAAGCCCCAGGTTGGGCTCTGTGCTGACAGCTCAGAGCCTGGAGCCTGCTTTGGATTCTGTGTCCCCTCTCTCTTGTCCCTCCCCCACTCACACTCTCTCTCTCCCCCCAAAATAAACATATAAATAAATAAATAGATATTTTAAAAAAGAAAGAAAGAAAACCAGAAACATCCTGAGAGAGAATAGGGAAATTTTATATTTTATCTTATTCAATTCTGTACTTCCCCCCAACTTCCAAACATGTACTACTTATGATAATGACCTTTTTTAACTTAAAAAAGATAGATAAATAAAATGGTCCTTCGATTAATTACCCCCAGGATGTGTAAGTAAAAGAGCAAAGGAGAAGAGCAGGTGTGCTAGGGAGGAAAAGCTCTCACCAAATTTTCCTACATCTTTTGCCTTTTGAGCCATCTGAATATATTAGTCATTGTAAATAAAGAAGATTTAGGCAAATAGAGAGTTATGCGGAAAGGTAAAAATAGTGAAAGGCTGGACAGTGATCCCATCGGTGAGCCTGTTTAAAGAAACACTGAGGTCTATAATAAACTTCAAGAAAATAAACCGAATGTGTAACATCTCTTAAAAAAAAAAAAAAAAAGAAAAGAAACATGGGGGTTAAAGGGCCAGGTTCTACCGCCCAGATGGTGCTGACACTTGGGGCTTGTTACCCAGGTTGGGAGATGGGGATGGGGCCAAGGGGGGCACAGGAGCCAGGTGGGGCCCATCTCACCGCTGCTGGTTTCCTGGGGTGTGGCATCCACCACCTGCCACCCACCAAAGCCAGAGGGCAGATCTGGCCTCTTCATCCAGCAGTCGTTCCACACGTGGAAGTTCCTGGATGGACACGGAGGGAGGGCTGGGTGTGAGCAGCCTGCCCAGGGCCTCCCTGTGCCCTCAGTGTCCAAGTCTTGGTCACCATCCCTTGGTCACCAAGGATGGGCAGCCCAGCCCTGGCCCCAGCCTCACCAAACAGAATCATGGTTCAGGTGCTCAAGAGGCTTCATATTCTCGTCAAAGTAGATGTCCATGGTGAGGGATGTGTCTGTGTCATGTGCCGAGTTGAAATTGGTGACAGTGCGGGTAGCCAGGCCCAAGCAACGCAGCACTATGGAGGAGCCAGGGTTAGAGGTCAGGGCCCCGGCAGGAGTGGGGTGGTGGGCAGGTGAGGTATCAGGTGAGGAATAGCAGGGGGACAAGGGCTACTGGGTTGCCAAGCTGGGTCAGGGCTCAGGAGGCCTTTGGGCCAGGGAGCGTTGGGGGTTAGGGGAAGCCAGGCAACCTGCCTGGCCTTGTCCCTGCCCAGTGCTTCTCCCTCCTCTCCCCTAGGCATCCCTAGGTAGTTAACACTAATTAATGATAATTAAGGTCAGACTACCATCCACCCCCCACCTGTCCCTGCACTGTAGCCACTGCTGGGTGGGGTTCTGGTTTCCTTCCCTCTTCCTTGTAGGGCCCAGGCAGCTCCTGTCCCAGTCCCTCCACTACCTGTTGTGGTCACACCGGCGAAGACCCAGCACTGGCCATACGGGACGGAATAGCCGGTGCGTAGGTAGCTGAGTAGGATCTCCACACTGCCCACCCAAGCTGATGGATTGGTGCCTCGGGAGTAATCACCAGACCAGTTTCCAATCAGGACCCCATTGTCATCCAAGGAGTTCACCTGCCCAGGACAGGATGGAGTTGGGTGGAGTTGAGGGAGAGGCTCAGGGCCTTCCATGTAGTCCCCAGCCCTGCCCCTGCCACCACCCCTTACCCCTAAATGCCTCAGAATCTAGCCAACCTGAGCCCCGCCCAGGCCTCCCAAAGACATCTGCCCCCCCTCCACTCCCTACCCCCCCACTGCCGGATCTGACACAGTAATGTGAATCCTGGGTGTGCCAAGTTTTGGGTTTGGCCCTACATTCCACAAGAGCTGGGACAGAAGCCAGAAAGGGTAGGGTGGGGCCAGGCAAGGAGAAGAGAGGGAGTGAGACCCCTCCTACAATACCCTTTGCAAGGGCAGGACAGGGCTGAGTTCCTGGAGAAATCAGAAAGGGCAGGAGCAGGGGGCAGGGAAGGTGGGAGGCAGGAGGCAGACACGTCATAGCACTCAGAGATGTGTGGGTGCTCACCATGGCAGAGATGACCCGGGAGACACTGACCGGGTCCCCGCGGCCTCCATATGGCATGCCCCGCCTGTCTAGGATGTACAGGCAGGCATCCAGCACTCCATGGTCAAACTGGAGGGAGGGAGGGCAGAGGTGACCCTTAGGTCAGCACGCGCTTCCTCACCCCACCCCACCTGCCTCTTACTTCCCCAAGTGCACGTGGCCCTGGCCAGCCATACCTGCCCATAGTTCCAGGTCCGCTCGCCAATCTGTGCTTCAGTCCCATAGTAAATTCTCCCGGATTCATTAAGCACGTACTCCTGTCGCCAATCCTCATGCTCCACGTACACGATGTCCTCTGTGTCCCCAAAACACATATGCCTGGTCCCCTCTAGACCTCTCCCTGGGCCCCACCTGCCCCTGGGCCAACTCTAGAGGACTCCTGTACACAGAGCAGGAGTGGGGACACCCCTAGCCCGACAGCACTTCTCCCTGGAAGGTCAGAGGGAGCATGACAGAAATGGTGGGAGGAAGGTGGCTGTAACCAGGGCCCTGGAGAGGTGAGGCCATGTGACCTTGGGCGGCCACCATTCTACACCGGAGCTAGGTCCCCTCAACTGAACAATAGAAGGCCGGCTTCTACTAGGCACATAGGCACCTAGCCAGATTCGAGGAAGGGGAGCTCTGAGCCCCCCTCCTTCCTGTCCACGCCCTGCTCCTGACTCCAGCAGGCTCACCTGGACACCATGGATTGAAGAGGATGTAGATCTCGTTGTGGGGGTCAAAAGGCAGCAGGAACTCGCCAGCCTCTGAACGTGTGCGGACCGTGAATTGAAACTTGCCGATGATGGCGTTGGGGGAGGTGTGGACACGTAGGTCCAGATTCTGCCCATTGGCCTTGGTCACCTGGGCTTTCCAGCCTCCGCTGCCCCCCTTCCCCACTGGGATGATCACGTGCGTGCCCTTCCCCACCTCGGGGCTGTTTCCTGGAGCAGGAGAAGCAGCAATTAGCTGGTGAGGCTTCTCTGAGGGGAGATAGAGCCTTGGACTTCTCCCAGCCCAACCCAGAATGTGTATGACACACATCGGTGTGTGTGTGTCCCTGAGTTGGGCCATCACCTTACTCTGTGACAGACTCTGAAAGCAGCTCTGTCCCCACCCGATGCTTGCCCACATGCCAGGGCAGAGCAGTCCGACATCCCAAACCTGTTCCCCTGACCCTGAACTCAGAGGTGGGTAGAAGAGACAAGGCCACTGTCACCGTCTGCCTGCCTGCCTGTCCCAGTGCCTGGGCTGGAGGGGCAGAGCTGCCCTGGCTGGGTCCGGATGCCCCTACCCCTGGTGAAAGGGCAGCCCAGATCCTGAAGGCCAACCCTGCCTACCCCCTGGGGCTGAAGCTTCCAGAGCCTTCAACATCCCTGGTGGCAGTGGTGGGGGTACCTGGGAAATTAGAGGCTGGGGTGGGCACGGCTAGGCCTTAATCAAAGGGTATGAGGAGTCGCCCGCCCCCGGCAGCAGCATAATCACCAGCCTGGGCAGTCAACGGCCACTAAGCAACGCGGTGAGAAAGGCACCTGCCCTGGGTCATGGGGACAGAGAGACAGAGTTGGACAGAGAGGAGAGAGCCAGCCACACCCTGGGGAAGGGGAACAGACCCAGAAAGAAAGACACACAGAGGCAGCAGCAATGAAGGAGTAGCTGAAGCAAGCACCTGAAGAGAAAGTATTTTGAGACAGACGCCTCAGGAGCCCTGAAGAGGGTGAGCTTAGGAACATGGGACACCAAGACCCTCCCTGAGACACACTCCTGTGCTTGCACCTGTCTTGTCTGGCAGAGGTGAGAAGTGGGGTGAGGGTAGGAGCTTAAAGATGTCCCTCTGATCCTAATACCAGGGCTGGAGGCCCTGCTAGCCAGCACTCCCCAATTCTTGGGCTTTCACCCTCCCCACTGCAGGCCCCACTGACCGATAAGCAGCTCCAGGGCAACATGATCAGAGGACTCATAGGGCCGAGAGAGGTGGAGGACCATGTCGAAAGGCTGCCCACGGCGTAAAATCAGCTCGTCGTACTCAAACTCATCTGTGTGGTGCTCTCGGCGATTCTGGTCCGAGCGTGAACTCAGCAGATCCACACCGGTCACCACCAGCATGCCCTCTGCAAGGCCACAGCTCTGGGTCAGCGAGGCCCCATGGGAAGCCCAGGCCCCCAGAGATGTCAGGATGAGTCTCAGGCCCCATTAAGGCCTTTCAGCTCTCAGATAAGTTGGCTAGGAGAGCCTCACCTCTGATAGTGCCGTCTCCAGCTGCGTTCACACCACTGGCCCGGGAGCCAGGCCGGCGGGAATCTGAGCCCCGGGAGTCTGGTCTTCGACCCCCAGAGCTGGACCCTCGACCCCTGCCAGACCCTCGGTCTCCGTGGGGCTCAGGTCCCCAGTCAGCATCTGTTTCATTTCGGCATGAGCAGCAGCCGCAGCAGCGAGCCCAGAAGGAACGGCCTCCTCGACGAGATCGTCTGTCCGGCTCCGGCTCCGGCTCCGGCTCCGGGGAAGGTGTGGTGGGGGGCTGCCAAGGGTTCCCGCCCCAGCGGCCCACATCTGAACGAGGACCGTCCATCATGCCTGTGTGGAAGAGGTAGGGAGGCTCTTATCACCCACTCAGACTTCCTGTACTCAGAACGCCCCAGCTGGCCCACCCAGAAGCCCTCCATCTGGAGAGCTGGTTGGAGAGCCCAACCAGATGACTGAGATGATCTGATCTTGCCCCAGAGATTCCCCCAGACCCATCCAGGGACGCTCCCCAAAGACTCCCTTCAAACTCACCTAGAGAAACTTCCCATACTGCAGAGAAATCTTTCCCCTCTTACCCCCACAGCCACATCCACCAAACTAGATGACCCACTGAGAAACCTGCTCTTAAGGGCCCATCCCAGAAATGAGTAGACACTTGTCACAGCCTCGGGACCCAGGGCACAGACCATCCCCGAAACCCGCTCCCTCCCACCTGCCAGCTACTCTGCCTAGAGGTCCACGAAGCTGCCTGCCTCTAGAACCCATTCTTGGCAGAGATCCCCCACCCAAGGCTCCTTGTAGGAGATGGGCAGGTGATATGCAGGATTTGGGGTCCTTGGCATTCCCACGTTAGGTCAAACACCCACGCGGAGTGGCGGGGGCTGCGGGTTCGGGAGCCCGACGTCCCTGGGGTGCAGAGCCTGGGCGTCGGGGGCAGCCTGACCGGGGCTGGCAGGCTCCGGCTGGCCCACACCCCACCTTGCCGGGGCCTGCCAGAGCCTCACCTGGCGGCGGTGGTGGCGACAGCAGGGCTGAGTCCGGCAGCCGGGCTGGGACAGGTTGGGACTGCTGGGACCCAGGACGGTCGAGGAGGCACGAGTGGAAGGTGTGGGACGGGCAGGTAAGTGGTTTATGAGGGGGGAGGGCGGAGCCAAGCTGCAGGGAAGGGGAAGCCTGATTGCTTCATCCCCTCACTCTGCGGAAGAGGCCCGGCCTCTGGGGGCTGTCTCCAGAGGTAGGGGCGGGAAAGGAGACCTGGCCGCATCCCCTTTCCCCTTTCGAGGAACTGTGGAAATGAGCCAAAGTGGGGCGGGGCCGGGGTCTGTCAGGATTCAAAGCTGTGGTGAAAGTGGAAGGCCTTGTGAGACTGCCCCCACGGACAGACCCCACTCCAGGCTGGTTCCTGCCAGACCGGTGCACAAGGGGCCCCCTCTCCTGGGTGAGAAGACCCCACAGCTGTGGGGCAGAGTGTCCCTTCACCCAAGCCCCTAGGCAGCGGGCCCCCTGTTCCCAAGCTCACATTGTCTGCCTCTGCTCCCATAAGACCCCGGGTCCCTCTGCCTCTGCCAGGGTCTGGTACAGCCTGGGCCAGGCTCAGCCCTGTGAAACTGGCCCATGGGCCTGGTCCTGCCCAGGGAGGTCCTGGGATCCGAAGCTGCAGACTGGTGACATCAGCAGCCAGGCCCTCAGACTGGCTCCACCAGCCAGCCCCTGACCTGCCGGCTCTACCAGATCCTCTGATCCCCCCCACCCATCTGTCCTTCCTTCTTCCTCCAGCTGCTTCACAACCCTTGGCATGAATGAACTGCCCCCAGCTTCCTGTGTCCCTACAATTTGGGGATTGGCAGGGGTGGGGGGATGGGGTGGGGAGTGAGGGTCAGAGTAGGAGCAATTTCTTGTTTTCTGCCCCCAGCCTGGGAGCTTGGGGAATGTTTGGGCCCTCACTCTGAGGCTCAGGTGGGAAGTGAGGCCCTCTCCCCAGGCTGCAGACTACCCCTTTTCTCTCAGAGAGGGGTGGCTGGTCAGCTGGAGTCCAGGATTCTCCAACTTGGAATTCTTCCCAGAAATCCTGACCGACCGGCTCCAGGCACCTGCCCTGTGTGTATCCCAACTCCACCCTGGCACTGGAGGAACACCAGGGATGCCACTGAGGGAACCCTAAGGCAAAGAGGAGGTCAGACATCTCTGGGAGGCTCTCCTGAAAGTTCTTTAGGAAGGTTGGGGCCATTTCTTGGGGTCTCTTCCCTCCATCCTGCTCTGCCCATAGGCCACTGAAGAGAAGACAGTGAAAACAGGGTTGGCAAGAAGACACATGGAAACCGACTAGAGGAGAGGCTGAACTTGGTGATGCATCAGGCAGGGAGGGGCCTTGGGGAATGGGGACTGAGACTCCAGGACCTGGCAGGGAGCTCTCCACACCCACAGTGACCTTTCCCTGTCTAGCTCCAAACCCCTGACCTGGCAGAGGGTCTGTCCCCACCTCTAACACCCGCAAAGGACACACAAGTAAAAATCAAAATCCCAGGCAGGCAGGTCAGCCAAAGGGCTTTGTTGAGGGGCTGTATGTATCACCATGAACATGGGAAGGGGCAGGGCCCTAAGGGACCGGATGTGTGTGAACATTTCCCAGGGAACCAGAAAAGTACCTTGTCAGTCTCTCTTTTGTTTTGGTCTTCTTCCCCACCTAGCCAGATTTGACTCAGTGCCCTAACCCCTGAGCCGCTCCCCTCTCCTCCCTCTAGGAGGCTCAAGTGCCTTGGGGCTCTAAAGTCAGGACAAGGGGTGTGTATAGCAGGGCACCATGGGAACAGATACCCAGTTCGGTACCTCGGGAGCTGAGGCCAGTCTTGACCTATCATCCCATATCAATACAGAAGAACGGACACAAGCAGAATCCCAGACCAAGGTGCAGAGACGGCTTTGGTGCAGTTTCCTCATCAGTACAATGGGCCTCACCATCTCATCCCTAAGCACTTGTGAGGGTCAGCTGAGATATAGTACTTTCGAGGGCTGTTCAACCGCAGAATGCTACTCATGAGGATCGATACTATAGTCACCAGAGGGCGGAGCAAAGGCACCCTGACCAGCTCCTCGTGGGAACAGCCCTCTCAGCTGTAGTGAATGAGCCGGGGCACAGAGGGCATCTGGAAGGGGCAGGAGTCATGGGAGAAACTTTTATGAGTCCTTCTAGTTGGCGACTTACGGCTGCTTTGTAGCCCAGCCCCAACCAGAACCTGGACCCAAACTCGATTGCAGCCCCAGCCCCAACCAGAAGGTAAACTCTAATACAGCCCTTGCATTTAAGGCATCTGGGGCAAATTCTGCCCCAGAACAGAGACTCTGGTTCCCCATGGGAGGAAACAGCAGGACCGAGCATGAAATGAAAGGGCGAGGATGAGGTGACACACCCTAACTCTCTCCTTTCCTCTTCCAAAATAGGTGGCAGTAGTAATGGTGGTGGCGGTGGTGGCGGCGGCGGCAGCATAGCAGCCTGGGGGGCCTCTCCATTGTTTATTCAGTCCCAATAAGTTAAAGAACAGGGGTGGGGAAGGATCTCCTAGGTGAGGATGCTGTTAACTGAAGGCAACAGCTCGGCCAGGTGCTCAGAGATGCCCGCTACTTGGCACAGGGGGTTGCCCTGCAGGTCAAGGAGGACCAGCCTGGGGCAGGAGGCAAGAGGCTGGAGCGCTGTGGGCTGCTGGAGGCCTTGGGCAGAAGAGTCAAGGAAAATGAGGCATGTTCCCCCAGATCCACGAGCTCCCGTGTATCTATTCCTGTTCTCCCTCAAGACCAGGTGCTGCTGCCTGGCGGTCTGGCTGGCAGGCATCTTGCACACTTCCCTGGAGGGAATAAGACTATAGACTGCAAACACCTGCCCATGGGGCCAGGCTGGAAGCCCAAAAGGCAGGCCAGATGTGGTACGAGAAGGAGCGGTGGGCTATGGCCAACAAGAAAGCTAGCTCTGGCTCCAGGGACATCCATGACTCAACAACGGCCAAGGGTTGCTGAGTGGAAATGCAGGCCAAGGGTTGCTTTAACTTCCAATTTTTTTAAAAGTAGGCTCCACACCCAACATGGGGCTTGAACTCATGACCCCAAGATCAAGTGTCTCATGCTCTACCAACTGAGCCAGCCAGGTGCCCCTAACTTCCAGTTTTTAAGTAGAATCAGAATTCTCAAGTTTTTAAATATGAAGCTTCCTGATTTTTAAAGTACCATGGGGTACCCAAGAACATCTGGAGGCTGCTGATTTATGAACTCTGGCTTGAGGAAGTCACTTCTACCCTGCAAAACGACCAGTGCAAGTCAATGATGGCCCACACAGCCCAAGCTATCCTCTCTCCTTAGCTTAGACCACCAGTGGCCCCTCTCCCACCCACCCTGCTTGCTGTCTGTCCCTTCCCAGCCCGGCAGCTCATCCTACCCGCTGTCTGAAAGGCACCCAGAAAGAAGGATACGGTTGTTGCACAGTGAGAGCTCCTGTAGTCGGGGCAGGTTGGTGACACCGTCCAGGGACTCTATGGCATTATCATTGGCCTGAAGGACCTGGGGAGCAGGGAGGGCAGGGAAGACGAGGCCAGGCAGGCAGCCGTCAGCCTGGGACTGGTACAAGCAAGTAGGGAGCCTGGGGTGATCGGCTTACAGTGCAAGGAAAGGCTCCTGGGGAAGTCTAGGTGACCGAGGCAGAGAAGGCACAGGGTCATTTGCAGGGGCTGGGAGGATCTGGACACCTCTTTGTAGGGTGGGCAGACTTCTGAGGTGGAGAAAAGGGAAGAGGAACACCCAGGACAGTGGTGACGGAGTGCTTTACCTCAAGGCAGCGCAGGGCAGCCAGGGCAGGGGGCAGGGCTCGGAGACGATTGTGTGACAGGTCAAGATGAGTGACCAAGAGCAGCTGTTCCAGATGGCAGAGTACTGTCAGATCCTGAGGAGGGGAATGAGATACCCGATGAGGCTTGGGGGAGGGGCCTCAGCCATCGGTCACGAGGCACTGACCCTCTGTGCTCCACACAGGCCCCTGGAGAGGAGAGGACGGGTAAGCTTACCTTACAACCACCCCCCCCACCCCGACAGTATACACTCCCCATCAAGCACATGGGACAGACAGGGGTGCAGGGGTGGGGTGGCCAGTGAGTGGATGGGGAGGAGGCAGCCTCTGGCAGGGACAGGAAATGCAGGAGGGCGCTGGGGTGGGCACAGACACTGGCAGGAGCGGGACTGCTGCGGCTGGGGGATCAGTCTGGTGGCAGGGGAGGCGGGCTGCGAGGACATGCTGAAGCCACTGTGTTGGGAATACTGGCTGGGAAAGACCCCAAGGAGAGGAAACACAGAGTCTGGAAAGTTTGTCAAACATCTCCAGAAACTACTCAGGCTTTAGGAGCCGCGGCCTGCTCCAGGGAGGGAAGCATCGGAGTGAGTGGGGGTGAGTGAGGGCTCGCTCTGAGGGAAGAAGGAAGATGTGACCGGTCCCGAAGAAGGGACGGCACGAAGAGGTCCTGATGACTCAGGATTTGAAACTGCGTAACAAGAATGATGGGGCAAGTGACGGAAAACAAGGCCAGGAAGAACAGCCTTGAAGGAAGAGGAGTTCAATCTCGGCTAAGAAAAAAGTCCAGAAAGGCACCTGAGACTGGGGCCAAAGCCATGGGTTTGGTGAAACCAGACTGAGGGCCTCAGCTGAGCCCATGGAGAAGACACAAGAGCTGGCCAGGGGATGAGGGGGAAGGGAGGGCCAGCAGGGCGAGGGCCCGGGGAAGGTGTGCACAGCAGTCCCTACCTTGTGACCCAGGTGCAGCACGCGCACCTCAGCATACTCCATCTTGAGCACACTGTTCTCCAGCAAGAACTTGCTGCGTAGGTCATCCAAGTACGCTGCCCGCATCGGGTCCACGGCCTGGCGGGGACGGGGAAGGCGAGCAAGGCCCATCAGTTGTCTTCCTGCGGCCCACCAGGCCTCCCCCTTACCTGTTCCTCCAGGTCCAACTTGCCTTGAGGGTCTGGAAGTACTGGAGCGTCTCTTTCTCATACAGCAGAGGATCCAGTGCCCGCATCAGCAGGATGATAGTGAGCAGGCACCCTGAGGAAGGGAGGGGGGAGGACTGTCTCTTCTAGATCCCCTGCTCCCATCTCTTGAGACCCTTCCTGCTCTCCCCAAGAGGCCTTCCTGGAAAGGGGCCTCCTTAGAGGATCAGGACCTTGGGGAATGGGGCCTCACACTTATTCTCCGGCTCCAGCTCCTGTAGCTCCTTACAGGATTCAAGTTCGGACTGTAGCACCGTGGACTTCTCCACCGACAGCTCACACCTGAGGATGAGCAAGGCGGGAGATGGGATGGCGTCCACTCAGGGTGCTAGTCACCCCCAGTATCCAGTCTGAGACCATATGCCCGAGCCTCCAGCCTCCCGCCCCAGAGTCCAGACCCCCTCTCCTTGTCTGTGTGCTTCCCTGTCATCACCTGAAGAGCTGCTCATCCGTGGCCGAGTCCCGGCACCAGCCCTCCTGGCGGCCTGAGAGAAGGAATGGGTGGTAGAAGGGGGCAACCATGAGAGGAGGAGAGGGACAGGGATACTGCTGCGAGGGGATAAAAACATAGAGCTTGTGTCACCTTTTAAAAGCACACACTCCTTGTGGGCATCGCCTTCTGTCCAAATGACACGAAATGTATGCTGGGGCAATTGGTCATTGAGGGAGGCAGCAGGCAAGTCACAGAGCTGGGAGCACCAGGTTAAGGAAATGCTCGAGCCTCACCACTTTTCTGACTGTCCCACTCCAGCCCCACCCCAGTCCCCCACTCTGCCCCATCAATCCTGGGATACCCAGACGTGGCTAGGCCGGCTCCTGCCATCTGGGGTCCTCCACTCCACAGCCAGGGGTGACTCATCAACCAAGAGCAGCAAGGTCTCTGTCCTGGACCCCACCTGGCCCAGGAGACAAAGAGAGACCCGTCAGCCCCAACAGCACTGGGCCCACATCCATGATGCTCTCCGGCAAAAGCTGCAGGACTCACTAGGAGGGGCCGAGAGAAGGAGACAGTCAGACAGGCCTCATCCCGGCTCACGTGCAGGCAGCGCAGGGCATCCTGGGGGTCAGCTGGGGGGGAGACACAACCTCAGGTCTCCTTAAATCCTCTTCCATTCCTTCCAAGCCCTAAACACCCAGCCTCTTTCCCCACTGCTCACCTCGTCCCAGGAGCCAGCGGTGATAGAACCAGGCACTCTGATCATTGGGGTCAGTGAAAAAGGCATTCTGTACCAGCTCCAGCTCTGCAGGGGCCAAGGAGGCACAGGATTCTGGTGGGCTCCTGGCCGCCCCAACATCCCACCCTCACCCAGGAGTACCTCCAGCCCTCAGTTTCAACTATCTGTGGGCCTTGCATAGCGGCTACATATATCAGCTGTATCTTTCCCACTGCAGAGGGATTGACTCTTATGTACCCCCAAAGCCAGGCACAAACTAGGTGCTCAGTAAGCCCAAGTAGCAGGTTCAGGAACAGGGTTAGGCATCAAGGCTGGAAAGGAATCACTGCAGAGTCCTCCCCAGCACCCTCTGACCCTCCTTACCTTTGAGTAGCACATCCTCAGGGAGGCGTCCCTGTGGTCCAGAGTCCGGCGGGGGGTGCAGCTGGGGCAAGAGACAGGAGCGGTAATGCCAAGAGG